GATGAATCCTCCTAGGAGGTGTTCTCAAGCTTTTCGGGTGAAGAACGGCCATCGAATCGGTTCTACTGACCCGCTGGTCGGCCTTACTGATTTTGGGCGTCCTCGCTACGTGAAAGGCTGTGTGCAGCCTCACATGTGCTAGCCTTTACTGGTGTGTGACTTCAATCGACGTCAACAATTGTATAATCGCAGGAAATCAGGGAGTGCAAGAAAAGAAAGATAGTTTGAGTAAAATCTTAACACAATGAGATTAATTACCACAAATTATTGGTACTCTAAAACTATGAATTGCTGGCAACAAAGAAGGGCATTATGTGAAGGGGATCAAATTGCTTGTGCACTACACATCAGGTGTCATGCAAGAAGAAGAATGTCTGCTGGTTCCACTAAATTTCAGGTTTTAGGTGTCATCTTAGGTCTCATGCAGCATGTTTCAGCAGGAGAAAATTGGCATTAGTCAAATGATAGAGGTTCAGACTATAGTTTCCAAATGCTCTGCTGCTGCTGGTTTGTGTGTCTGCAGGTTCTGAACTTTAACATTGTAAAGGCAACAGTATTATTAATACATTGAATGTTTGTCAGTATCACACGGTATGTGTTGATGCTGGGCTTTCATCACTCCACACAGGTAAGCAGTACAGGCACACTGGTCTTTCATCATTGTTCTCCTTTTAGGTAGCTATTTGTCAATGTCACATGATTACAATATATAGTTAACCGTGAAATTTGCTACCAAAATACCACGACATCATCATATGATTTAATAGGCACAAGCGCAAACATGTGATTCCTATGAAATTCTAAGAGTATAGAAAAAACTATGCATACAGTTTCCACTGAAAAAGTGAATGACTGAATGTTCCAGGTTATTGGATTTCAAAACACACACTGACGGCCAGCACGTATTGTCAACAAGCATTTTAAAATTGCACACGGCTTCTATTTAAGCAGGGCCATTCTTTCGGTGGCATTAAGAATTAGAACGAACTGATTGAGCCTACAGCATGTGAATTTTAGCATGATCTCACCAGGTCAAGGAACAGGAACATGACTTTGATCCAGCTTGAGATGATGAGCGTTGGGCCTGCTACTGCATATGCACAGCACCCACCGATCAGCAAGGGCGGGCACGAATGCAGGGGCGCTTGTGGTATTTAAGTTTTTTACGGATCGCAGAACGGCAGAAGAAAACCGTCGGTCCTAGCAGTGGCAGAGAACATACAGATATTTCCCTCTTCAATTTTTTTTTTTTTTTTGAGGAAATCCCTCTTCAGTTCATGGTAGTAAAGAAAAGCTAGAGGAGTGTGAGTCAAATCGAAAGAAGGAAAAAAAAACAACCCAAAACCATTAGGCGAGGTGAAGTCTAATTTTGTTTGGTCCAACGACTTGTCCCACCAGGATAAGAAATGCGGTTTGGGTGCCACAAATCAAAGCCCATATATGGTTTTTGTTAGTTATGCCCTTGTCCTTTCTGAAAGCAATACAACCTACTTTAATTATGTATTATCTTCTTCTCCAATTGCAAATTGCAATGATCCGGAAAAAAAAAAGAATTATAAAATCCATGTAGCATTTCTCGAAAAATTGCAGGAGTCAGCAAATAAATAAATAAACAACTTTGAAACCCCTTTAATCATGTAGTCTCAGAATTGGGTTTTCGTGTCACAAACAAGGACGGAGCCACGGATAAGAAATGCTATATGCAATTTTTTTTGAGAAATGCTATATGGACTATGAAATCCTAGAATGTTAGTTGGAAGATGGACTGGTTCTTCTGTCTTAAGGCTTCGTTTGGCAGGTGGGGGACACGTTCCAAAGGAGAATTGATCCAAGGAGGGATTGGGTTGATCCCCACCTCCCACTCAATCCTCTCCCAGGTTGAGCTGCTAATCCCCCTTCTTGCTTAATAAGCCATTTGGATAGTCTGTATTAGCATGGATTGTTTCCAACTTTCCATACATACGAGCATGCACTGAGCTAGTAATAAAGCACTCATTTTTTTCCCATACGTACCTGAAGTAAAACAAAAAAATTAAAACTATAAAGTAACAAAAAACCGAAATGAGAGGGGAAATAGGAAAATAAGATCAAAACCAACTAGAAATTTAAACATAATATGAAAATTCAGAAATCAACCCTAGAAAATGGAATAGAATCTGAAAAACTAAAATGCTTTCTGAGTAAATGGCAATACATGAAATATTTGTACATTAACTTTAGTAGCACATTTGGCCTATATCCCTAAATTAAAACCTACATGTATGACTGCATTTAAAGGGAGCTCTCCATAGTCGATGTAATCTGGGAAAGGAAGAAAGAAGTTAATTTCCTTCTTATCCCTATTCCATTCGTTCGGGGCAACCAGGCTTGACCTTGCCGTCTAGTGTGAGCGGCAAAGCTCCATTACCCTCGCAATTTAGTGATAATAAAAGTGCCAATTATTTGCACGCCTGTGAGATTGAGTTAGGATTAAACTCCGTAGTATACTAAAAAGTTTTCGAGCTCAAACATATACTAACCAGAAAAAACAAATATTGGCGCATGATTTAGAACTAAATATGAACTCAAAAAATTGTTGTCCAGCCACAAAAGAAAGCAGTAAATTTTTATTATGACTCTACACTCGCTCTGAATCCACTACAAGAGTATCTGAGTAACATCCTAAAGATTAGGACCAAGAAGAATTGTCTATTTTCCAACTCAACAAAACAGGGCTATCGACTTGATATATATGTATGTATTATCGTAATGGCAATCGAGAATATTTTCCAAAGGATAGCACTTGTCACGAGCAGGTCTTGTCAACCGACCAGTGTAAACTCAAAATTTAAGAAAATGTTTGAAAATCCATCTCTAGACATTGGAAAATTGAGCTGAGCATTCTTCACAAGTTCAGAATTAGTATTGCAGTGTCAGAAGTACCGTTACGAACTCAGTTCATAATAAAGCATCAGTAACAAAAGTAAGAGATAATTTATCAGAATTAAGAATGAAATGGAAACCAACTAAACCAGATAATTGCGAGAAGTACCACCTATTCATTACCAGCAACAAGATCTGTAAAAAGAAAAGGAAGATGCCAAAGCCTGCATGTGTGTTTAGAATAATAGAAAGGAAAACTTTAAAAGTTCTGTTCCATTAGTGTTTTTTAAGGATTTCATGTTGCCATAAAAAGGCAAGGAATACTCCGCACCAAGAAAATGAGGGCAATGAATCTACAAGAAGACGAGAAAGAAGTCAGATTAGTATTGACCAAGGATAAAATAACCACGCTAAATGTAACCATAACACCCATCAAACTACCTCCGGGTATACCATTTTATGAAGACTTCACAAATGAGTCAATTGACGAATACAAGGATCGGCTTGTAGAACTGCATGAGAATGGCGCAGGTTGCTGCACTCGTGTCCATAACTGCATCTTTAATTCATTGGTAGCCAATTCACTAATATAAGCATGGTTCCAGAGCTTAAGGATACATCCAGGGAAGATACAGTCAAAGCATACAACGAATGGTTGTCTGGAAGGACAAATGGAAGACATTGATAATATAATATCTCTCTCCAAGTTGTCAATCAATTTAACAGTACCTCATATACCAATTTTAACTTATGCTCTATTGTTGGCAGAGGCATATGAAGAGAACCCCAGCGTTCACTCAAATGAGACAGCAATCCAACACCACCAATGCAACGGCCAAGTCATGCTCGGCGTGTAAAAAAACAGCTCAATGATGGTAAGACATTTTTTGGAAAACATTATTATAAGATGCAATTATATTCCATAACATTAACAGCAACATTTATTCTATTCCGTTGTATGTCGTTTTAAAGGACGACGTGGCAGCAAAAAGAGGAAGTATAAAGGACGTGGGACCATTAAAGGTTTAGCTGTAGCCAACAAAAGAGCTAAGCATGGCACTCAGAAATTGGCAGTTGAATTCTCAAGTATCCTGTTGGTGGTAACCAACGGTCTTTTGTTGACGAAGTCGTAGTGTTTACAAGAAAAAGTGCTCCACTTATTGGAGTGAAAGTGGAAAAATATCGACGATGAAGTTAAAGGAAAGATAGCATCTGATATAATGGTAAGCTTCGCATATTTTAGGTGCGTACCAATCTTAATTGTGAAAGTCTAAGAATTGAGCCGGTTTGTGTATTTTCTTTTGAACAGGAAAGGTGAGACCTTGAGAATACTGAGAATAACAAGAAAAATAATATGGAGCATCGGTAATGAGTGGTACAAAGGATGGCGATCAACATTTAGTGCCACATACAGGGCATACGATAGTTATGATGAGAGAATAAGACATAAGCCTGAAGATGTGCACATCGTTGAATGGCTATATTCAAATGCTAGATAGTGTCATTCAACAATGTGCAGATCTTTAGGCTTATGTCACATTCTCTCATCATAACTGTCGTATGCCCTGTACGTGGCACTAAATGTTGATTGTCATCCTTTATAATGCTCATTAGCGCTGCTCCATATCTTTTTTCTTTGTTATCCTTAGTATCCTCAAGATCCCACCTTTCCTGTTCAAAAGCAAATACACAAACCAGGTCAATTCTTACGCTATTTCACAATTAAGATTGATACGCACCCAAAATATGTGAAGCTTATCATTACATTAGATGCTATCCTTTGTTTAACTTCATCGTCGATATCTTTCCACTTTCTCACTCCAATAAGTGGAGCACTTTTCCTTGTAAACACTACAACTTCGTCAAGAAAAGATCGTTGTTTACCACCTACAGGTCCTCCTAGTCTACTTGAGAATTCAACTGTCAATTTCTAAGTGCCATGCTTAGCTCTTTTGTTGGCTACAGCTAAACCTTTGATGGCCCCACGTCCTTTATACTTCCTCTTTTCGCTGCCAAGTCGTCCTTCAAAACAACATACAATGGAATAGAATAAATGTTCCCATTAATGTTGTGGAATATAATTGCACCTTATAATAATGTTTTCAAAAAAAAGGTCTTACCATCATTGAGTTGTTCTTTTACACGCTGAGCATGACTTGGCCGCTGCATTGGTGGTGTTGGATTGCTATCTCACTTGACTTAACGCTAGGGCTCTCTTCATATGCCTCTACTAACAATAGAGCATAAGTTAAATTGGTATATGAAGAACTGTTAAATTGATTAACAACTTGGAGAGAGATATTATATTACCGATGTCTTCCATTTGTCCTTCCAAACGTAACCATTCGCTGTATGCTTTGACTGTATCTTCCCTGAACGTATCCTTAAGCTCTGGAACCATGCTTATATTAGTGAATTGGCTACCAATGAGTTAAGATGCAGTTATGGACATGGGTGCAGCAACTTAACTTAGCACGGCCTACGCCATTCTCATGAAGTTCTGCAAGCCAATCCTTGTATTCATCAATAGGCATATGTGAAGTCTTCATAAAATGGTGTACCTAGAGGTAGTTTGATGGGTGTTATGGTTACATTTCGCTCGGTTATTTTATCCCTGGTCAATACTAATCTGACTTCTCTCTCGTCTCCGTTCGTTGTTACATTTCGTAGTGTTCTTTTGGTCACTTGCTAAAGCTCATACTCTGGGCCATTTGTATTGACATGGCAATCTTGTGAGCTTAGCCAAAGCCCTCCCACTCATCTCCGTCTTTGATTCATCATCTTTGTGAGATTGGGAAAGAACCCAAGTGCATTGCTTGAGTGTTTGTATCTAGAGGCACTTGGTATTCGTTTCGCTGCGGGTTTGGCTTGTTACTCTTGGTGGTTGCCGCCACCTAGACGGCTTGGAGCAGCGAGGAGCGTCAAGTTGAGGTTGGTGATTGTCTCCGGCTCCGATCGTGGTGATTGTGATGGATTCTTGACCTTTCCCCGGCGGAGAGCCAAAAGGTATTCTAATAAATTGCTCGTGGCTTGTGTGATCCTTATCTTGTGTTGATTGTGCGACACCCTATTGAGGGTTTGGCGTGTGATGCCAATTAGCGCTTGAACCTCCAAGCGAGTGTATCGCCACAACAGGGACTAACTTGCCGGCAAGCAAGTAAACCTCGGAGGAAAAATCATTGTGCCTTGATTGTCTCCTTGGTATTCATTGGTATTTATTGATTGATCACTTGCCACGGCGGTGTACCTCTCTACCACTCTCTTGTATTTCATTGTACATTCATTTGTATAGAGCTTGTGGTAGTCAAGACTAGATAGTGTAGTACTTAATTGTATCACTTTTGCTAGATTGATCACCTAGGTGTAAATTCGAGATATAGCTTTGTTGTGATATACTAGAGATCATAGAAAATAGAATTGGGTAGGTGACCTGCAACCCCAAGTATAGTGCTAGCGCAAAATTTGCTTCGCCATCTTATTGACTAATCATTTGTCTTAGTGTTGTTGTAGAAATTTTTAATAGGCTATTCAACCCCCCACCCTCTAGCCATTAGGACCTTTCAACAAACCCGTCCCCAGCGAGCGCGAACCGCACCGCATCACCATGCGCAGTCTGTCTGAGCCACGGCTCACGCGCGGCCGCACAAGCCGGGAGCACAATTGGGTAGGTGTAATGGTCTAGCACGACGCCCGCAGCATGCATCCACTTGTAGAGGGCGAGGGTGTCAGCGGTGTGCGACGACTGGGAGTGGCCGTGCGCGCGAAGGAGGGTGTTCCACATGTAGGCATCGCGTACAGGCGCGGCGTCGAACACCCTGCATGCGTAGGCGAGGGAGGCAGGCGCCACGCCGGCGAGGAGGCTGGTGGCTAAGGCCAGGTTGGCGGATACACCGAGGACGATGGTGCGGGCATGGATGGGGAGGAGGGCGCGCAGGGAGACTAGGGAGGAGGTGGAGGAAGCAGTGATGAGGCGAGTGTAGCGGTGGACGAGGGTGGACTTGATCTGCTCCACCACATAGGGGAGGACCCTGATGTTGTCATCAATAGATCTGTTGACACAGGATTCCAGTTCCTGAGTTGCATCTGTTTTCATCTTCTGGAGCTTGGTTGCTTCAAACTTGTCTTGACAGATCATCAATGACCGGTTCAACCGTTCCTGAAGCAAGGGGCAATGATCAACAAAGATATAGGTGGCATGATAGTTATGCAGAGAAATACATGCATAATCTAAACCCTAAAATAGCAATAGGAGAAAACAAGGTTCCTATGAACCTACTGGAAGATGAATTACAGTTAAGCAGCTACATTATTCATGTAGTTGTCCACCTACAAAAGGACATAGTTTTCAGTTCAAAGTAACAAGATGTGTAACATCGTGTCTGTACATGATTCCGGATACTTGCGACAACCATCTTCAATAACACTGACACCCACTAATAAATCTTTTATGACAAACTAACCAGCTGGATAACAGTTGACATGCGGACCTCAAAAGAAGGTGCTCATATTGCATGTCAGAAGTACAATGTACATAGGGACGAAACAAGAACTAAATTGCTGCAGGGGGGAACCTTCTAAAATTTGTACTTTTGCATCATGGAGATCATGAAAGCATATTCATTAAACAAAATAACTATAGCGACAAATATACTGCTCGTGAATCCTAAACTATCTTCTAGGAAGAGGACTTTACCACATGACGTTTAATGGCATCTCCTATACCTAAATAGGAGATCCCCACTAGTAGATTTCTCTGCAATTTGGTGAAGCCACGTCATCCATCCAATTAAGTCAGCAGTCTCCTTCGTGTTTATCAAAACTCATCCGAAGCATCCTCATAAAGCCACGCGCAATTACGTGCCTATTGCACTTCACCTCCTGCACCATTACCTCAAACGCTGGCCCACTCATCGCTGCACCCACCCGCTCCACATTTGTAACGGGCAATCAATCTTCCTTCTATCTATAAAATAAAAATCGAGGCCGGCGATACTGTGGGGGCAGCAGCCGCGACCCGGGTGGGCAGCGTGGGCATGGTTGCGGAACTGGAGGTGAAGGATGGAGGGCATGTTGGAGCGGGAACTAGAGGACGCAGCATGGGCCAGCATTCGGGAGATCCATCGCCTAGGGCTCGCCGTCTACCTCTGGACGCCGTTCACACTCCGCCTCCTCCACCGAGGACTTCGACCCCAACAAGTTCGTGACTACGATTGCTGTTGTCTGCTCTCCAACGCCGCAGGTAGATGGTTGTTTGATCGGCTCTGGATCAGGATGTCAAAGAAAGAAGCTTCGACGGGAAACACAAAGGTATGGAACTAATCTGTCCGAGGGGGCTGTCAAGCTGAGCGGCGGAAGCCGGAAGATACAATGAGAGGAAGATGAAACGAGTGGATGAGAGCTGTCAGACTGTTGCCCGGTTTCTTTTTTTTTTATGGTATATATACCAGTTTTTTTTACGAAGAGATGGACCATGGATAAACGATAAAGTATGGTGGATCCGGCAGCCTCCACTATCTGCCCCTCTTTCTACTCGAAAATATTCATTAGCTTGGCACAAGAACATACATGAGTTCCAGTCCAGCGTCCCTCATGTGATCTTTGCCTCTCGGTCAATTAGCAATTATGACATCAATTTTAAGCGGTGCAATTTTATTGAAAGGAATGACAAAATTGAAATGACGAACTTTACAGTATTATTTTTTATTTTTCCCTGTATTATTTTTTACCTAGATCTTGATAAGTTCTACCGTGGTCTTTTAAAAGTGGACCAATAAAATAGTTGTTACTATGTCAATATCCACGCTATTATTCGGTTATTTATCTAAATTTATCCCTAAAATTCCACTGCCACACATTATGATGTTGTTGTTAGATAGTACTATTACTTCTCATGTATAAGGTCTCGGGTTCGAGTCGCGGTCTCCTCGCATTGCACAGGCGAGGGTAAGGCTTGCCACTGACACCCTTCCCCAGACCCCACACAGAGCGGGAGCTCTCTGCACCCATTTTTTTTATAAAATTTTTCTCATATATAAGACAACAAAATCCCCGCAGCAACGCGCGGGGTATCATCTAGTTAATATGATGATTGATTGCACACCATCACAGATAACAAAACCCATGCAGCATGCTTGTTGTGGTATTTGTGCTAGTGACTGTGAAAACATTGAAATTATCATGCATACACAACTTGGAAAATATGACAGTTCATTTACACACAGCATTCGAGTGGTTGCAATGATCAATAAAATCAGAGCAAAATGGAGCACACAAAACAAATATTAATAGTAACTTAAAATTCAGAAAGATTCCATAGTAAAAAGTTACAGGTATGAAACTATTAACTTCACTGCATCAGAAAAAATAGCCAATCATAATTTCAGTACTACACAAACACAAAGGAATTCAGTACCTAAAAAATGATGAACAGAGAATTCTATGTTGTTCTATTTGGCAAAAAAAAAATATGATACTTGTATTGCAGGAAATTAGAAGTACCTGAAACTTGGCCATCTCATTCTCAACAACATTGTTGGCGGTAAGGACAGGCACACTACAATTCTCCACACAGCTATTGATCCCTTCCTGAGTACGACGCCGGTCAGAGCAATCATATGCGCACTTGAAGTATGCTTGCTGAAAACCAATCAGAATAAAACAGATATTCAAACAATAATTAGCACTCAGTGTTTCGATTTGGGAGCATGCCCCTTCCCCTCCTACAAAGATATCAAGCATATCAGCAGTTTTACTGATAAATTATCCTTAGTCCAATAATTACTACTGCTAGCCCAACCCCCTTTTCTGGCATCACAAGAATGGATATCAAGGTAACTTCAACAATTAGTCTAAAGTAATTTCCTCTCATATCTAGAAATTGTGCGAAGAAAATAAACACAATAGTGAGCAATTCCAGGAGAGACGGTTACTACTAGTTACTAGCACAAAACAATAAGGTGACACTAGCAGATTTCTAAGAGATGGCAGAAAACACATGCACCAAAAACTGTATTCACATATCTCAGAAATTAGCATCCATTCTCCACTACTGCAATGCTGCTCTTCCGACATTCCTAAGTACAACACCCACCAAATTCGCGCACTTATTCAGGGACATGTAATTGCATCAGAACGGAATAAATTACCCAAAACTCGCACAACATGGAACCTCCAATACTCCGTATCATCAGACTAACGGGCCACTGCTCCATCAGTGGAAAATCTAAAGAATCCAATCTAAAGAATCCGGACAAATTTCAACAAGAGTAGTAAAATTATCGCCGCCTCCACCCTACAATTCCCTATTAGAATAAGAAACCCCAAAATCCCACCAAGTTCTATAACCAATCCAAGATTACGAGGCCTACCAGGCAACCGCAGCTATCTCGCTCCGCCCTCCCCAACGCTACAACCCTCCGACTCCGAGGACGGGAAACCGAGGCGGCGGACGACCTGCTCCTCCATCGCGCTCAAGGGGTCCATCGCGCCGCCAGCCTGGTTGCTTCTGGACGCCTTTTGCGGTAAGGGACGGACGAGGGGAGGAGGAGAAACGGCAGGTCGGAGGAGCGTTTAAGGCGAGGGGCTAAGGTTTTATGGATTTGGCCCATGGGCCGAAACCGACCAACAGAGTAGTGTATCTCGAAGGAGCTGGAAAAGGTCAATTTTACCTCACTATAAACTTTATGGCATCATGATTGGGGGACTGACTACACATCTCTTGGAAGATTTTGCTATTTATTGTCTTCCACATTTTCAACAAATAAGCAGTTGCCACGTAACATGATACACCACAACCAAAAAAAAAAGTAGCACATGTACGTCATAGGATAAGACTGTCTACAATGGATGAGCCATACGGAGACCCAAACCTAAAATGGGTCGTGAACGGTACTGTATCAGCCTCCAACAGAATACATATATGCGAGACCTATTTTAGGTTACAGCAGAAGCACAACCCAAATATGAGTATCCTATCTCCTAAAGACTCATTTGCAAAAAAGATTCTCTTTTCGTTCCTGTTGGGTATTAAACCATTCGCCTGTAGCGCTACCCAAACATGGAATAGGTCTTGTATTTTGGGCAGTGTTGTTGGAGATAGTCTAAGCTTCTAGAAGATATTTATGATTGTTATCTTCTGGAAGATTTTTACAGCTGTTATCTTCCAGAAAAAAAATTGACAAAAAACTCAGGAATAATAGAAACAAAAAAATGTTCAGACAATTCGCACGCCAAGGCAATTCAGTTCAGACCAACCTGGAGGCTTTTCTTTTCTTTATTATACCCAAGCATGGAATGTAATGGAAAACTAGCTACAGGCTACACCTGTCAAACTGGCTTTCTTGCAGTGTAATACATGCAGGAAGTGAAGACATCTCAACACCTTACTTCCAGAATACTTCCAAAACTTTAAGTTGTATAAGCACTTTGCCTAAAATGATTGAAGTTGCATTTCCTTTTCGAAAAAACAAAGCTCATGATATACTCTGATTTTTCTTTTTTGTGTCATTTATTACATCTCGTACTCAGGTACAGGCAATCAGAAAATCAACGCTAAAATTTCACGAACAATCTAGACTACAGTAGGAAAAATAAAATTGGTTATATCATAATATCACTATTGAGAATGGACTAGGAAGGATATATAATTATAGCCATGAAAAGGAGATCCTAGCAAGTAGGACAGTCATGTGTTCTCAGAGAAAACCGTACAAATGTAGTGAACTTATTAATTAGGCATTAAGACTGAACAAAACTGAACCTGAACCTCATTGCTAAACTGAACCAGAACCTTTACCCAATAGACTAGACTAAGACTACTAAACCTAAACTTGATCCTGATTGCTGCAACTAAGTTAAACTGAACCTCAAAATCATACTGAAACTCTGAAACAATTTGCAGAACAAAAAATCACACACTGAAGATGAACCATGCTGCATCAGGCTGAAGATGTGCTTGCTAAACCACAATTGGTCCTCTCAGAAGCACTGTCACAAAAAGAAAGAGTTGGAGCTAAATCTGAACTCTCTCGGTGAGCAGCATGGTAAATCCAAAAGCTTTTGGAGAAAATGCAAGTCAGAAGATTCTCGAGCTTGAAGCACAAATACAGGCAATGCGTGAAGCTGAAGAGACACTCAACTTAGAGCTAAAAGAAGTTGAGGCAAGTGTCAAAGCTGCTGAGACGAAAGGCTCAGACCTTGAGCAACAACTCAGTGAGATTGAGAATAAATTAGTTGCATCAAGTGAACAAAAAATGAAAACGATAAATTAAATAATCATGACTGAAAACTGAAGCCGAGTACATGCAATTAAATAGCAATGATACTGAAACTGACAAAACACACAAGATGATACTAAAAATTGCCTGGTCAAGATATTGCAGTGCAGACCCCAAAAGTAATTGATACCACACACTTTTCCATCAAAATTGCACAGTGCGTCCCTACCCCTGTGCCCCAAAAACAAAAGGCAGAAATAGAGCCTCTTTGTGAAACCCAACATAACAGTCAGTTCAAACTCTTTTTTTCTCGAAAACGCAGGAGAGCTACGCTTCTTTATATTAAGAAGAAATAGGGGGTAAAGAACCCTTAGTACAACACACACCCACACACGTCTTTATCTCATAAGATACATTTGCGCCGGTAAAGAAAGAAAAAGCGACCATGCACCTACAACAAATCAACTAACAGCTTGGGCGGGGGCAGTCAAGTGGGATAGCCCACGAGCCCCTGCCATTGTTGTGGCAGAACCTCCTAAATTATAGGGCCCACATGCACCTGTCACTGTCCAATGACCTCTGACGACTATGCATATGTCCCCAGTAACTTAAGAAGATTGTCGGGTGTCCTCGGAGAACCCCGAATCATACACGATTTCCGAGCAGGATCCCATTACAGAGTCATTACAGTATTACAACATTTATTCAAATATCTACATCAGAGTAAAATAGCGGAAGTCTTACCATATCACATGGAGGACACACCGAGTCCGCCCGGTCTAGATTTATTACTCCACATTCCCATATCACATGATAACATAAGTAACCAAAGATCCATTTAAAACTAGCAGGTGACAGGTAATCACCTGACTTTCATCGTTCTAAGCATAGCTAAGCATAATTAGGCATATACGAATTAAAACTGATAGCAAGGTAGATATGGAAAAACAAGGTTGGTAATGCACCAATTAGATTTTCACTTAACTCCTAATCACTTAATGCAGTAAAGAAAAGCAAAAGCGAAATCAATTTGTAAATCCCAAGGTAGGTTAAATGCATCCGCGGCTTGTCTGGAATCCGACACAAGTCGGTTCAGTTAGCTTGCACCGTCTTGATGACATCTCCGGTCCTAGCACTTGCTTAGTCCTTCCATCTTCGGAATAGATCCACCAAACACAATCTTCGAGTTCGGCTCCACATCACATCATTCACGTGGTTCATCTAGCGTACCTAAATGATATGCAAGATGCATGTGTATGAATGTGATGAATGATAACACAAGATGCATCACATAAGCATTTAAGACAAACACAAGATTATGCAAGACATAGATACCAATAGCTATTTAACTAACATCACACAACTAACTATAGAGAGCAAGCACATCAAGCATGACACAAGTTTAACAAGGTCACAAGTATCATAACTTGACCATCAACAAGGGCATAAGCCACACTTAGCAACACATGGAGTAAACAACCACAACTAGCATATGTCTATTTCTGGACTGGAAACAACAGCTTCATGTTTGGATCATAACCAGAGTTATACAAATCCAATAGCCATGCAACAAGACATTCTGGAAAGCTTATGAAATTTTCTACAACTCATCTTTAATCATCTTAGCATGATTCTCAATTAACTAAGTCAAATATACTCATTTACAGAAACTGGTCCACAATTGACAGAGAGCAGCTATTTCTGAAACCCAACTTTAAACAGGCATAACTCACAAACCACAAGGCCCAATACCACCAAATTTTAACAGCAGCTAAATACATGAATTATCTACAACTCTATTATTAACAAATTTCCCGGAAAACATCATTATCATGATGTAATCCAAACAGTTCCAAAAACTGTCCCGAAACAACAATTGCAAGAAAATAATTATTAACTCATGTTTCAAACATGCATCTGGGCAAAACCATTGCCATCAACATGTTCCATATATCAAATAAACACCAGAAAACATAGTGTCCACCACCAAATAAATTATTTCAATACATTTCTTAATTTATCTGAATAATAAGTAGGATTAAAGAACATATAACAAAAGTGCACAATAAAATCTACAAAAATTACAGTACCTTCCACGTACTATCAATAGACTACTGTACAAATTTTAGGCCATTTGAACATGTATAGCAACCTCTATTGAAAAATATCAAATGCTAATGCAAGAAACCATGTGAGAGCAATATAAATCAATAACCCACTAATACAACAACCAATGACCATGAAATTTTTATCCCATATCAAACATCACATGAGTAGCATGCCACAAAAATTTCACTTCATTTGGAGCCCTACATCTGTATTTATGAAAAAGGACAAATACAACTAGCATTAAAACCCTAACTGCACAAATCCATTTTTACAGCTAAAACTTTAAATTAAAACATGCCATATTATAGATCTATTGCATAGGAAATTTCACAAGGATTCCAAAAAGTCCCCATTTGTTATTTTACGATTTTTCTATGGTTTTGTACGAATTATCAAAGTTCAGCTAATTTCAAAGCAAACAGGTCCAAAAGGCACTATTCACATGAGTCTGCGGTTCACAGAAAAGCCCCTCCCTATTCCCGAATTCGAAGCCGAGGTCCCTGATCGTGATTTGAAGAACAGAGGACGCCGGAGAGACTCGATTTCTGGCCGGCTGACGCTCGTAGGCGGCAATTGGAGGGGTGGTCGAGCGACGGGGTAGCGAGGCGAGCCTGAGGGTGGCCGCAGCTCGGCTGGTAGCGGCCCGTGACGGCCTGGTCACGTGAGCCCGCGGCTCAGCGGCGGAGTGGCACGGCGGCACGGCGCCTCGACGGCGAAGCGAGGTCGGAGTGGGGTTGCGGAGGTACAGCCTGGTCCAGGGAGGCTGGTGGCTGTGGTTACTAGGCACAAGGAGGCGCGAAGGCACGGGAGCTAGTGGTGGCCACGGAAACTGGCACGGCGGCCATGGAGGCTGGTCGCGCGCGTGAACGGCGGGCGCGGCCGTTCCTGGTGAGGCAAGACGCTCAGGCGATGCGCAAGGGAGAGGCGAAGCTATGGAAAGCTTGGCTGGGACCGGGAATACTCAACGGCGACGACACGAGCTCGCCGGAGTTGGGAACTGGCGACGGGAAAAGCAGAGGAAGAAAGCGGAGGAGAACGGCGACGTCGGAGGCTTTATAATGCGGCCAGGAAGAACAAAGAAGCCACGCAGCAGCCTTCTCCTAGCCAGCGCAAAGTCGAAGGTGGCCACGAGCGCGCCTGGAAGCCAGAAGAAGCTCGCCGTCGGTGAGGTGTCGCCCGCGGGTACTGTTCACCGAAATTACAGAATTGCCACTCGTCTAATTTCCCAATTTATTCCCAAATTTGTATGGTAACTCAAAAATCTCCAAAAATAAAAGTTGTTCAAAATTCAAAGTCTACAACTTTGCTTTTATAACCATACCCAAATTCGGTCTACATTTTGAAATGCAAGTTTGAAATCAAAATGGGACACTTTGAGAATTTACGTCTTTTCAAATTACTTCAAATTTTATAAAACAACTTTGAAAACTCCAAAAATCAACTTTGTACACCTTGACAAGCTCTACATTTTTGCTTTTAGGCTCAACCCCAAAATGTGCTTAGATTTTGAATTAAGTTTTCCAGGGTAAAACTAATTGCTGAAAATTAGGGTTTTTGAAAATCCAAATCAATACAAAGCTTTTGAACTTGATTCAATCCACACAAGTCAACACATATAATATAAAAGTAAACTTGTTTTAGTGAATGCATATCGAAGTTTTCACTAGCACAAAAAAATGATGTGTAATACATATGATGACACTATTTCATGTAACATATAAAACACTTCATAAACAACATTTACATGCTATAAATTAAACATGAAATGCATTAATGACTTGATGCTTGATAATTATGCATAATGATGATCATGATAAAAAATTTAATTACTTTTTAACATCAGGGATGTTACAATTGTCCACCGTCGACGCTCATCACCAGCTAACTTTAAGCTTTCAGCTATGTTAGGAGTCGCTCCATCAAAGACGCAGCTATTGCGATGATTCCAAATTATCCATGCTCCCAGAACTATTAGGGAGTTCAAACCTTTTTTTGTTAAACCGGAAGTTGCTGCACTTGCTTTTTCCCACCAATCATCGAATGAAGTGTCAGATGGTTGTGGAGCTAGGGAGTGGAGACCGACCTGTCTCAAGATATAGTACCAAAATTGCCTTGAAAATACACATTCGATTAGGAGATGATCAATGCCTTCGTCGGCTTGATCACAAAGTGGACACTTCTCGTGATGAGGCGGGTCCTCGTCGTGCAAGACGATCTGAGGTCCAAAGAACAACTTGTGCGCTACAAGCCATAGGAAGAATCGGCATTTAGTTGGAGCCCAAGTTTTCCAAATTCTTTTCCATGGCTCGAAAAGAATTTTCCCCATGAATAAGCTATCATATGCGGATTTGGCGAGTACTTGTCCACTATCGATAGTTTCCAAATGTGAGAGTCCTCCATCTCAAAGTTGTAACCGAAAATCATAGAGGAGGTCCCAAAGCTGAAAATACTCCACGATGACCCCCATTGTGAAAGCACCTTGGATGTCCGAGACCCAAGTCCGGTTGGTTAGAGCTCACTTTGCACAAGACGCAACTTTCTCTTTCTCTGCGGAATCACAAAGCAAAGAGTCGAGGCGCTGAGATCCTTAATGCAATGCCCATGAAGCCACCTATCACCCGAGAACAAAGTATTCTCGCCATTGCCAACATCTGAGATAATTGCCATTGAACAAAGCTTCGAATCAACAGTACTTGTATAGGCAAGCAGGCACCAAGGGCGGTGTGGCTCCTTTTTCAGAAAAAAAGCCATCTTGCGCGTAACGCCCAACCAAGATTTCAGAGATTGGAAATGCCCAAACCACCCAGTCCAGTTGGAGAGCAAGCTATCTCCCATGCCACGAGACAATACCCTCCACGTGCTTCCTTGCGCCCTCTCCACAGCTAACTTCTTCGGATTTTGTCAATCGCTTTAATGGCCCATTGAGGCAAATCAATGGCCATCAC